GGGGGGATGGATGCACGAGAGAAGTGGTGAGAGCGCGGGGCTCAGGTCAGGTCGTCGAGCCCTTTGAACGCGGAACGGGGCCGGGGGAAAGCCGAGGGGGCGGAAGCGGTGGCCCAACGTACCGAGACGATCCTTGTTCCTCTCCCGCCTCTCCGCCTCATCGACGAGACACGTCTTCCACGCGGCCATGTCGTCAAAGTTGGACGCGGTCTCGTCGATGCGCACAAAGCGGACGAGCTTGTCGTAGATGTGTGGGTTGTTAAACGCGCGGTTGGACGAGAGCGAGGCGTTAAAGTGGGTCCCCTCGGCCTTGAGGTGCCAGAAGCGCGACAGCTTGGCCTCGAGCGTGGGCGACCAGTCGCGCGGGTGCGCCGTGGGCAGGCCCCACCGTCGTTCGTCGTCGTTGTCGGCCTTTGCGTTCGGAGGTGGAGGCGGGAGGAGCGGGTGGAGCGGGTTGGATGCGTTGAATGCCGATGTGGCTTCGAGTTTCGAAGAGGATGGGGATGGGGATGCGAGGTTGTTTGGGGGCAGCGCCGGCGATGGTGGAGATGTGGACCGAGTGGTGCCGCCTTGCGGTGCTGGTGATGGGAGCGAGGGATGCGGTGGCTGTGGTGGATGCGCTGCGGTTCCCGGTGCCGCTGGTCGGGACGGCGGTGGCCTGGTTGCTCTGCTATCCTCGGCTGAGGTTGTGTCGAGCGGTCGCTTAGTGCCTGTCGCCGCCTGAACATCTGGCGATGAGGTCAATGACGGATTCGCAGCAGTCTCGGGCTGATCTTTCAGAGCAGTCGAGGCGTCGACGCCTGACTTGGTTTGAGGCGACGGATGGTCTGCCTGCGCTGGACCACTCTGCAGCTCGCGCTGCTTGCCCTTTGAGTCGATTCGAGGTTGGCGTGGCCGCCCAGATACTACCGAGTGCTGCGATGCATTCGATACGACCGGTTGAGCGTGAAGGTGAGGTTGCGTGCCGGCATCTTGGTCGTCGTCGTCGTCGTCGTCGCTGTGATACGACACGAGACCTGGAGAAACGACGAGCCAAGCCGCCGGGCGAGTAAGAAAGAGCGGGCATGTGTCAGCGGATCCTCTGAGCTTATTCGCATTGAGATCGAGGTCACTCACCATTCATGGCGTCGCAGACGGGTGTGGGAATGGGGTGGTGAGGAGCCGCCGCGGATGATGGTCGAGAGAGGCACAGATGGGCAAGCTCAAACTTGAATCCCTGGTGGACAAAGTGGAGGCGGTTGCGTTGCAGGGCAGCCGCCCCCGAGCCGCTCGGATCCGACAAAAGTCTCTTGAGCAGAACTGCGAGGGGGGGGCGTGGCCTACTCCGCCCCGCCGCTCCCTCTGTGGCACCTCGCCATCGTCCTCCATCATCTACCCTGTCAACCTCTGCCACGCGCCATTGACCAACATGCTACGCCTATACACCCTCACCGCCCGCCTCCTACGGCCATCACCATCACCCTCGCTCGCACTCCCAACGCCCTTTACGCCGCGATCACTGAGTACGACCTCCAGGCTCCTCTCGGCGCCGCGGACAAGGCGGTTCGCGCAGCACGGTTCCGGTGGCAAGCTCAAGACGCACCAGGCCACAAAGAAGCGCTGGACCCCCACCGGCTCCGGGAGCGGCAAGGCGTTCCAGCTCGTCTTCAAACGCGCCTATGCGGGCAAGTCGCACCTCAACTCGCACATGTCGAGCGACCGCCTCAACCGTCTCGGCGCAACCGCCTACTCGAAAGCAGGAAGACTCAACCGTACCCTCCGCAGGCTCCTCGCCCCCAGCCTCTGATCTCGTCGTCGTACGTACTACATGCTGCAAATCTGCGCTGCTAGTCGAGCCTGTGTGGCCTGGCTCGGCGCGCTGACCTTTCCTCGATCCTCGCTCGCGTCCCTGCGTCCTTCCCCCTTTGCACCAGATTGCTGCGTCGGCCCCACCAAACACAACCTGTACCACTACTACCTACCTCTCGCTCTGCCTCTGTCCACGTCGCAACGTCGGATCGCCACCATTGACAACCCCTCGATACGACTCGCATCGCATGCCCGCTCCTCTCTGCACGTCTGTGTCGCCTGCGCTGCGCAGCCCAGCATTCTACCTCTGGGCCGCCCGTCCAAAGTCACCCCGTCCCGAGACCAGTCGCGAGTCTGTTCGAGCCGCAGCTGCCCACCTTCTCCTCCCTTTGCCTCCCATTCAGCCCACGCCGTCGCAGACAGACGCCACTTGCAATCGCACGCTTGCTTGCTTTTCGCACTTCAGCCAGACAGCCAGCCAGTCGGCCGTCGCTGGACATACAGTCGGATCAGATCGGTGCGCTGCCCTGGCAAGGAACGCCAACGCCGCTGCCGCTGCCGCACCCTAGGCCCTGTCCGCCGGAAGCAGGAACGTCTCTTTGCCCTTTCGCTCCACCAGCTTGGCGTAGCGCATGCGCGGGCAGCTCTCGACGAAGCGGTCCCAGCTCTCGGGGATCGCCCACACGTCGAGCTCAACGTGCTCCAGCGCCTCCATCTTGCCCCCGTCGAGGCGCTCAAACAGCCGGATCAGGCCCTCGAGCGTGCAGTCGTAGTACTCGACCTCGCCCTCGCGGCGGTCCGGGCGCGGCAGAGTGCCCTCGGCGCCGTCGCGGAACTGGCACCGGTCGTGACCGGACTGGAAGTCGATGCGCAGCCGCTTGAGCGTCTTGCGGCACGACAGCAGCGCCAGCGGAAAGTAGCCATCCACGCGGCACACCTCGACGTGCAGCTGCACCAGGTTCTCAAACGCCCCCAGCGACACCAGGCTCGCCCGGCCCAGCAGCGAGTAGCACGTGCCCGTCACCTCGAGGTGCTGCACCGGGTCCGCCGCGCGCTTGGGCAGGTTTTGAGCCAGCCTGCGGTCCTCGCGTCGCTCGGCCTCCTCCTCAAAGTCGAATTCGGCGCCGTCAAAGTCGAACTCCTCGTCGTCCTCGTCGTCCCACTCTTCTTGCTCGTCCCAATCTTCCGCGTTCATCCCTTCGATGTCGGAAGCGACGGGCGATCCCGTGACATCCTCGTGACCTTCTCCGGCTCGTCCGCCTCGGACTTGCTCCGCTCCGGGCTGGCCAGCCCCGGTCTGCTCGGCGTGGCCTTGCTCGTCTTGCACCTCGATGGCGGGGACATCGGTCGTATCGGCGGCGCGGGGGCCGGTCGTGTCGCCGGTGTCGACAGCTGCAGACGGAGCCTGGCGCTCGACGTCCGTGTTGCCATCTCCTCCCACTTCCGCATCGCCTGCCTGCGAGACCTCGATTTCAGCTTGAACTTGGGTTGTGTCTTCGGCCTGGTCAGCCGCCTGATCTCCCTCGGCCTCGGCTTTGCCGTCCTCGTCCATGGCCTCGACACCCTGCACGAGCCTGTCCGCCCAGTCGGCGGCGGCCAAGTCGCGCTTTCTGCGTCGGATGAGGGTCAACAACACCCAGTCGGGCTCCCGCAGCGGGTTGCCGTCCGGGACAAAGTGGCACCCCGTTACGCCTCCCTTTTTCGAGGCGATCGACGACCTGATCGTATCCAGGCGAGTCAATTCGCCGAAGCACGAGCCGATGCTGGCGCGATCGACCACGTGGATGGAGAGGGAGCGGAGGCTCGGGGCGAGGCGCTTGCAGAGCTTGTCTGGCGGCAGGGACGAGCCGTCGGCCCAGTGGAGCCTGTCGATGGTGCACTTGTGCTCGCGGATGAGGGCGATGAGCGTCGTGGATTTTTCCTTGGCCTGCGTTGCCGCAGCGTCGACACTGGTCGCGACCTCGCAGGCGATCTCGCGCACCTCGGACATGGGTGACGTCAGCCTGGAGCGGCGATCCTCGGCGGGCAGGTAGTAGGCCACGACGTCGCGGACCGCGGCGAGCTTCTTTTTGGTGTCGATGCGCAGCGTCTCCCAGCGGAGCGGGAGGAGCGCGTGGCGATACACGAGGCAGGTGTCGCTGAGGGCGTGGATGCACTCTGGGGTGAGGTGCGGGACGAGGTCGTGGAGGAGAACCTCGACCGGCATCTTGGGCTGATGCACCGGCGCCTGGTCGCGGCGACGCTTGGCCGTGGCCGAGGCATCGTCGTTCGCAGAGGCCGCCGCCGCGGGCTGCTGGTCGTCGTGGTCGCGCTTCATGGCTGGAGCAGAGCGGGGCTAGGGGGGGATACGGAGAGGAAAGGCCTGCCTGCAGCGCCGTGGCCGATCCGACGGCGATGAGCGCGTGGTCCGATTGGCTCGCGCGACGAGGGCGAAGGAGAAGGAGAGAGCGACGCAACGTGCAGGGCCAGAGCGCACAAGGACGAGAGAGACAGAGGCTTATGGAGACGATGACGAGGAGAGCTCGACTAGGCTAGAGGGGAGGCTAGAGGGGGTTTGGAAGGGAAGGGATGAGCGCAAGGTGCAGCTCGGGGTGGCGTTGGTCGAGCCCGGGATGTTTTGATGCGAGTGGCAGGGACCGGCCGGGGGTTGATGGTGGTCGAGGAGAAGAAGCGCGACGGCTGAGGGCAAGCAGGGTTGAGTATCCGCGGGCCACCCAACGCCCCGCTCAGCTCGCTCTCTATCCGCCGCTCAGCTCGCTGCCGAGCATACAGGTAGGCTGGGCCAGGCCAAGCCAACAGCTAGGCGGCCAGGCAACCAGGCGGCCAGGTCGGTGGCGGAGGGGGGCCAGGGCCTAGCCTGTTCGCGCGGCGAGATGGGAAAATTTCGTCAGCCTGGCTGGCCGCTTGGCCCTAGCCTGCCCCGGCCCCCGCCCAAGCGTTGGCTGGACAGACGCACACGCTCGCCCACACGCACGCACACACGCACGCACGCTCAGCAACGTGGTCGAGAGTCGCTTCTGTCTTGGGCTGTTCTGCTGGAACCTCACCCGCCTGGCTGGCTGGCTGCCTGTTGTGTCGCGCTGGACGGCTCCGAGGCGGAGCTGCCAGCCAGCCTGCCTCGCCCTCGACGCCCTCTGGCCAAAGCAAGCAGATCGAGCGCCAGCAGAGCGGGATCGGCGCACGGCCCGACGGCAGGCCTGGCCTGGCTCTAGGCGCAGGTGCAGGTGGCACATCCTCTGTCGGGGCGCTTATTTGCGCGGCTCGGGGCGACGACGGCGCGGCTGTCGACGGAGCGGTCGGTCGGTCGGTCGGTGTTTCCTTGGCTCGTCGTCGGTCTCGGCCCTGGACCGTCTCGTCGACCTGCTTGCAATTGCTTGCTCCTCGCTGCCCTGTCGTGTTCTCGTCGGCAGGCGCCGCTTCAGAGTGGTGAGCCGAAGCGGATGCTCTCTTGCCGGGTCGCCAGGGCAGGCGGTAGAGATCCATCCACGCCGTCCATGATATGGGTCGCGTGGTGACTGGCCCCGGTCGAGGTCTCTGGCAGGCGCTCTTGGCGAGGGAGGCCTCCACCTCGTTTTTTTGGACAGCGCAGGCGTTCACCCAGGTTGGGGCCACGCCGTGCGTGCCTTTGGACGCGACCAAAGGCCAACAGGCAAAGCGAGGGTCCAGCCCCAAAAGAAGCAGCAGGCGGGGCAGCGGCAGCACCGGCGCAGGTCTCTCCAACCTACCTTCCTGCCGGCCTGCCTGCCTGCCTCGGCCTGCCTCCGCCTACCACCATATCCCCCCGTAGCCTTTCCGTCCTTGCTCACCACCATACATCGGAACGGCCCACCAGCGGGCTGGACACGCTCGATCGGATCACTCGCCACCCTCGAGCGTCTTGCGCCCAAAAGACCTGCTGCTGCTGCTTGACCGGCATCGACACCCTTCAGCAGTGGCGGTGCATGCCGCCCTAGCCCCGGCCCTAGCCCCGGCCCCAGCCCGTATCCCAGCCCTCGCCGGTGCCCGGTCACGCCCCTCTTCGCCTCGTCTTGGATCGGATCAGATGCGCACCTTGACGTCGACGCCGCCACTGCCACCATGCCAAACGCAGCAACCTCGCCCTCGTCAGCCGCAAGAGCAGCTGATGCGTCGCCGCCCTCATCGCCTTACCTCTCGGCCGCCCCGTCGTCGTCCTCAAAATCCAAGCCAAAGGTCCGCTTCTCGAGCCTCAAGGATTTCGCAGCCTATAGATCCAACGGAGCCATCAGCGACGGCTACGGATCCAGCGGCCCTGTCAGAAGCTCAACAGCGCGCCATGCCGGTACCAAGTCGCCCAATGCCCGCGTAGCACCGCTTGACAAGGGCAAGTCGAGAGCGACCCGAGTCGAGCCTCTGGCCTTGGTAGGTGTCGCTCCCGTGCACTGTGGCGGATCTGCCGCCGCAGGATCGAGCTGACTTGGCTGCCGATGCTGACGGGCCTTGCCTTCTACTCCTCGCCCCTTTCGCGGTTGTATGCTTTGCCAACCTAGGACGACGACGACGACGAAGAAAACGACCTAGACCGTACGCGTGTACCGCCCAGCAGACCTTCAGTTTGCCCGAACCCGGGCGCTCGCATCTTGCGCTCCAGTCCGCGTTCCTTTGAGCACCTCTCTATCCCTCTCCCACCCCCTCGTCCGGTGCCGTCGCTCTCGTCACCTTCTGCACTGCTTCAGCCCAGCTCGGCCGCCGGAGATAGGACACACCGCGTCATCGGCGGCAGCAGCAGCGGCAGCTCCTTGCCAAGCCCCAGGCCAGCGCGATCCGACGGGACCAGGATCGAGGTGGTGATTCCCGCTGCAACCAACGGCTCAAAATCGGCGCCGTCGTCGAAGCAACAGCCGCAGAAAGCGAGTCAGTCTTCGGATCTCACTTCTATGCCCTCTTCCAACGACCCTACGGCATCTCCAGCAGCGACTCAAGCTAGGCCGATCTCCTCATCCTATGGAGCCTATGCGCCCGAGGTCGTCATACCGTGGAAGCAGACCTCTAGACGCCTACCGCCATCATCCCCGAGCCGTGGCAGCGACCGCAACCAGACGGTCGAAAGACCCGACAGTGTGCCGCACCAGGGCGACAGCGCACGGGACAGCAGCGATCTGGACAATGACGACGACAGCGCCCGAGACGAAGGCGTCTCCGACGGAAGTGAAGCGGAAGGCAGCGCTGCAGAAGGGAGCGCCCGAGGCAGCAGCATCTCAGTCGTCGATGCCGAGAACAGGTCGATGGAGAAAGCCTCGCCTGGACACGCACGTCAGACCGAGGCCGCGACCACTTCCGATGCTCGGCCATCGGCAGCTCTTGAAGCTGCGGCGCGGATCATGGCAGGCCACCTCGAGCGGCATGATAATGGCAGCTCGGCCGAGGACAGCGAGCGTGAGCAGCAGGGCGCACGGAGGTTGAGGGAGCGCAGGACCAAGAGTGAGTGGCAGAAGCAGAGGTGTCGAAGGGGCGCCGGCATCCGTGGTCAGCGCCCACATGCAACGGCGTAGGAATGGATGGACTGAATGTCGATCCCACCCCACCGCCGGGTGCACCCGCTCCCAGTCTCCTACCACATACCAAGACTGGACGAGGATTTCAGCTACGACGACCCGCGCTTTGTCCGCTCCGCACCATCCGCCATGGCCGACAAGAGCGCCCCTCAAAAGAAGGACGGCAGCACCCGATACCGCTTCCCAGTCGTCATATACCCTCCCGAGCTCTGCAAGCCTCGCAAAGTCGACCGGGAAAATCTGGTGCCACCTCCCCCGCTTGAGACGGCGATGGTCGATCCGTACTTCTTGCGCCGCGACGAGCAGGGAAATGAGGTAAAAGTGCCGAGGAACATTGCACTCAGGGACGTGTGGTCCTTCCACCCGGCGCCCGGTGGCGAGGCGATGGACCTCTACCCGCGGCCAGAGCCGTCTGCGCCTCGCTTCGAGCCACTGAAGCCAACTCTCTTCGGGCCTTCTGGCAAATCCGGCGCTGCTACTTGCACCTCGAATCGGACGTTGACTCAGTCATGGAGCGCGCGCCTGCAGCGTCCCGTCGCCCCGGCGCGGCTCTCCCGGCTGTTTGCGAGGACGTCTTATTCGGAAGCTCCTCCGCTGTCTCAGGCGTCGACGACTGCCTCGGACGACTTCCCCAGCAGCAGCCAGCTGAGCTCGTCGCCTCGCAAGCAACGCCCCACCAAATCTCTCTGGCCGCCGGACCCACGCCGTCAGGCCCAGCACGAGCTCGTGGAGCTGCTCCGCGACGAGGAGCGGGAGGAAGAGGAGAGGCTGGAGAACTACGTTCGGCGCAACAAGTTGCTCGCCCGGCTGGAACAGCAGCAAGCGCTTGTCGAGACCCGGCGGCAGCGTCTGCGCGTGACGCTGTCCCGTCCAAAGAAGCCGCCGATACCTCACTTCGGGTCTGCAGCTGCCGTCGAGGCGACCGAGGCGAGTCCAGTCTTGTCTCCCCTATCGCCGGCGCCCTCGGAAGCGCAAGCGGGACAGAAGCGAGCATGGTCGGTCATCTCGGTTGCGAGCTCACGCGAAGAGCAGCCTAGCCGCAATGGCGAAGCGGGAGGCGAAGCATCTGAAGACGCCATCGCATCTCGGCCGTCGCTTCGACGCCCGCCGGAGCCCAAGAAGCTGCGAGTGGCCGACTCGTCGCAAACCTCCGAAGATCGCGGCGCGTCTGAGCCGAGAGTGGCGACGCAGGTCAGTGGACCCAGCCTGCTCGCGCAGGGCGACGATCATCAGCCCGTGCCTGGCGCTGCGGAGGTGTTGATCGAGGGCGCATCCGCGGACCAGGGCGCAAGACGGGTCGCCGGCGTATCTTCCAGCGACGAAAGGCCTCCGCAGTCATCAGGCGACGCTTCGCTCACGGCAGGCATTCGCGGCCTCAGTCAGTGGTACAATGTCCGTCAGCCTTCCGAGCATCCGGATAGGCGCATGGCATCGTCGCCGACGACCAGCCAAAGTCCCTCTGGCGGCATCAAGGGCCTTAGCCAGTGGTACCAGGCGCCTCGAGGGGAAGAGAACACGAAGCAGGACGACAACAAAGTCAGCCACCCGGGCAGCGCCGACAACGGCACCGGAAGCGCTCGAGTGGACGACGCGGCGAGCGCTGACGGGGAGGAAGCCGACGAGCTGGCAGGCGATAGCGACGCTGCCGGAAACGACGACGGGGACGAGGAGATGCCCGATGCGGGAGCAGACGACGCTCGATCCTCTATCAGCATCGACGAGCCGGACGAAGACCCTGTGCCCGCCATCGTCGTGAGCACGTCGACGTCGTACGCGCCATCGTCGAGCTCGCGGTCGCCAAGCGCCGAGGTGCTCGGTACGGCTGGGGCCTCGATCGCCAACGAGTCAGTCCCCACCGGCTGGCAGGGCGTGAGTCAGTGGTACACCCACAGGAGCCACGAGCTCGTCCGCCAGTCCAAGGTCGACAGTTTCTTCAAGCCGTTGCCGCGCTCGAAGGCAGCTGAAGGCGAAGGTGCGGCTTCCCATGCTACAGAAGCCGCCCACTCTGCCGCGCCGACCAGCCTCGATGAACATGCAAGCGCTGCGCAAGCCGCCGAAGCTGGTGCTGGCGCACCGGATCTCCAGGCAAACGGCAGCACGAGCGAGCATGGAGAGATCGCGGAAGCGACAGCGAGCGATCAACCGACAATACCGGAAGTCTCGCTGCCATCGCCGTCAGCCCCGCCGGATGCCCTGTTCCTCGGCAGCGTGTCGCCGGATGAAGAATCGGCCGAGGATCCAGCTCACGACGCCGGGTCAGCTGAGAGGTCCTCGCCTCTTCGGCGGGGTGGCTCGACCTCGAGCGACGAGGCCGCTGTCGCAGCACAGCTCCATCAGCCTGCCGGGCCAATGGAGCCTATTTCGACGTCTATCCCGGCCGAGCTGCCACAGCCGTCGCAGCGGCCGGATTCTGCCGAACAGAACGGCGATTTTGGTCCGGCCGCACCGACTGCTGTCGAGCGTGCGTCGCGAATGGCGGACTTGGAGACCATCAGCATTCCCTCCTCACCGGGACTCCCCTTGGCGCCGGCTGCCCAGGCCGTTTTACCGGCATCGTCTCTGGCCGCCGTGGTCCATGCGGACGACACCGGCTCGCGTTCGCGCTCCTCTTCGGTGCCCCGGCGAGCGGTGCGGCCCATCGCCATCGCTCCGTCGTCTTCGTCGTCGTCATCTCTGTCGCCGCCACCCGACCTACCTGTTCTGCGAGCGGCGGCTGCCACGGCGTCTTCCACTGCGACCAACGGTGCCCCCGTTTCGGGTGCAGTCTCTCCTGCGACAGGCTCCGGCCATGGCGTTGTCACCGCCCCAGCCCCGCCGGGACGGGATCAGTCTACCGCTGCTGCAACGGTTCACCAGCGCGCCTCGCCCCCTCAAGTCGAGGCTTCTACCTCGACATTGTCAGCGCCTGTGACGCCGGCGGTCCCTCCTCATCCCGAATCGGGTGCAGATGCACAGGAGCAGGAGGAGGAGGAGGAGGAGGAGGAGGAGGATGAGCTAGCCAGCAGCCCGCCGCAGTCGCCGCCGGACGAGGCGGCCGACGTGGAGCCGTACCAGATCCGGGAGCTGAGCAACTGGTTTTCGGCGGCATCGTCGGCGGCTGAGCGGACCGATCCGATGGGGCTGCAGCTGCAGCGGCGCAAGGAGGCGCGACAGCGGCGAAGGGAGCAGGATCGACAGCGGCGACGCGAGGAGGAGCAGGAACGGCACCGCCAGAGGGAACTGGCTCGAGCCGCCCGGGAGGAGGAGGAGGAGGGGGAGCGGCAGCGGCAGCGACAACAGCAGATGGGCGCGATCCAGAGTACCTCGATCCAGGTTGGGGGCAAGACGATCGAGGTCCTCGACTTGACCCTCGATTCGGACTAGACAACGTCCTGGCGGCCCAGGCAAATGGAACGTCCTTCCATCTCCCATCTAGACGGGGTACCGGAAGGATGGGAATGGAATTGGGAGTTGAGGGGCCTCGACTTGGGCAATGTATCGCGCGTCGCAGTCGCATTCCAGGGGGATGCCGTTCCCCGCTCTCGTTTTCGCCGGACATGGTCTGAGAGCGCGTGGTTGGCAGCACAATAGCGGTCTGGGTGTATTCTGCCTGGCACGGAGACGGGCGGGACGTGATCGGCTTGGAAGGGAACGGGTATCCCCTCAGCCTGTGCTGCATCAGGATCGCATCATCCTCTAACCCTCCTCGCCATCCTCTTTCATCTCATCCGTCTCCTCTTTCCCTCCGACTTCCCCATCCCCATCCCCCTCTCCCTTCCCCTGTTCCTGCTCCTGCTCCTGCTCCTGCTGCTTCTCCTCTCGTGGAGAAGCATGCACCGACGACACGTCCGACTCCATCTGTACATCCTCCTCCTCCCTCCTCTGCTCCCCTCCACCCGCGCCATCCGGACCGAGATGCGCAGCATGCCTCTGCCTCTTTACCTCCCTCTCCCCCTCGACCTCGACCTCTGGCAGGTGCGTCGTCGAGCTCAAGGGCGTAATCGTGTTCTGCATCTTGCGGTGTGCCGTCGATGTCGATGCATCGACCACCGTCGTTTTCGTCGTCGTCGTCGTCGTCGTCGTCGTCGTCGTCGTAGAAGAGGGTATGGACGACGGCGATGACGGCGATGACGGCGACGACGACGATGGTAGATCCAGTTCGTCGACTCGGCCCGGTGGGACGCCCAGCTCGGCCGTCGCCCCAGACGAGGATGGTGGTGTTGCCTCTGTAGGGCTCGGGTGGGGCCCGGTCGGTGTCGATGGCATGGCGGCGTCGTGCGACGTCGTGAGAGGCGGTGCGTGGGACAGTGTGCCCTGCTTGGTGCCGTTTCCGACGACATCGGTTCCCGCTCCGGCAACGTCACTTTGCAGCGGCGGCGGCGGCGGCGGCTGCTGCCCCTCTTCGCTAGACGGCGCCGTGGCCATCCCTCCATCTCCCTGCCGTGCGACCGCCGAAGCCGAGCCATCCTGGCCGCCACCGACCCCACCACTGACGCCGTCTCCGTCGTCGGGCACCACGGATGCGCCCGACAGATGGTGTGTCCGGTCCGCGCCGCCGAGCTCGAGGTCGGGCACCTCTTCCATGGCCTCCTTGACCGCCGCCTCGACCCCCCTCTGCCCCTCTTCCTGGCCCGCATCCCGAATCAGGAAGGGGATGGGGGAGAAGAGGGGCTCCATGTGGCGGTCGACGGCGGCCTGCGACCTATCCGAGGCGGCAGACGACGAAGTTGACGAGGAGGTCGACGAGGAGCGCGGCCGGACGGTACCGACGCCGGGCATGCCGCCAAAAGCACCATTGGGCGCGAGGTGGCTCACTTCATCGATGGGCCCAGAGGGGGCGGCGATGGTGTTGTGGGGCAGGCCGCTGGCCATGGGGTCGGGCGACGAGTGGTCGATGGGGAAGGCGTCGCGGGTGGCCGTGACCGAGAGGACGCGCTGGAGTGCGTTGAGGTACTTTGCGCGGGTGCGGTGGAGGTCCATCGGGCGGACCGAGAGCTCGGCGAGGCGCTGAATGGTAAAGGGGGGCTGGGTGTCGAACTCGTCGAGCATGCCAAAGACGAGGGCCTTTTCGCGGTCGAGCTCCGGGGCCGTGAGCCTGCGGCCCCACGATGAGCCCATGGATGCGGGCGGCTGCGACTTGGAGGCAAAGAAGCCCTGGGCGTCTGCGGGCGAGACGCCGTGGGCGAGGGCGAGGGCCTCGGGCGAGGGCTGAGATGCGCCCTGCTGCGTGAATCGGTCAGAGAGGGTTTCGGCAGCGGATGCGGCGAGGCCGGCGGGGTTGGTGGGTGCGTCGTGAATGTTGAACGAGGCAGACGAGGCAAGGCTGTCGGCCGAGGGGCTGGTGGTATAGCTCGAGTCTGCGAGGAGGCTGGCGTCGCTGGAGTGTTGCTGCTGCATGAGGGGGATGAGGGCGGCCGCCGGGTGGAGTGCAGGAGGTGGGGATGCGGGGAAGAGGTCGAGGGCGGCGGCGATCTTGTACTTGATGGCATCTTTGAGCGGGGGCCAGTCGAGGCTGCCGGGGGGGGGGCGTTACACGAAGGTTGATGGCAGTGGCGGTGAGGAAGAGAGAGAGAGAGAGGGTGTGAGTGAGTGGACGAGGTGGCGGGAGCGGTGCGCCCGTGATGGGACTTACTCTGGATCGAGGTGGTCGGTGTCGGCTATTGCTTCGAGGGTGGTTTGGTAGTCTTGGGAGCGGAAAGCGGGCGGGGACGAGCGGGGAATATGGAGAAGAGGAAGATGTAAGCGCGGGTGCGAGTATGATTCCTAGCTGAGAGTACTGGTAGATTGCCCACCTCTGTTCCACTCAAAGTTGGGCGAGATGCCGTGGGCTGGCGAAGGGGGATTGGGTTCGAGGCGGCGGATGGAGCGAGATGGGGTGAGCAGAGCGTTGGCGTGACGGGACGATGTTGGGCGCTGAGCGACTCACCGTCTGACGCCGTCATTGTGCGCGATGATGTGGGATGTGAGAGGACGATCTGGGAGCAAGGCGACTGGTACCGGGGAGAGGGTGGTGGATGCGAGAATGGTGGTGGTCGCGGTCGAGGTCGAGGTCGAGGTCGAGGTCGAGGTCAGAGTGGGGCTGAGGCAGGCCGCGGCGAATTTGGCCGTCCGAGAGGGGGGAAAAAACTTCGGGTTGCGGGCCAGAGTGGCTCGCCAGCAACCTTAGAATATACCTGTTAGGGTCCAACGCAGGCGCTGGCTTTTGACTTGCGGGGCCCTCTCAGCGCTGCAGCTGGCCGTGCGAGCCTTTGTGCGGTGCGGTGCGGTGCGGTGCGGTGCGGTGCGGTGCGGTGCGGTGCGGTGCGGTGCGGTGCGGTGCGGTGCGGTGTGTTGC